ATTTTATGAATTTTCTTATCTGTGTTCTTGACAAAGGGTTGAATTGAAAATCCAAGTTATTACTTATCTGTAGAGGAATCATTTAATTTATGACACCCCCTTCCATCATTTAATCATTTACCCCCACCACCCTTAGAAAGGTTTGTTAATAATTACATTTGCAAATAATATGTGCTCTATAGAGCAATATACGTACATTCTACATTAATATAACGTAAATTGAATTTTCAGTACCATTAAAGCATAGACGCATATGTTCAAAGTTCTACATGTATGTCTAAGCAACAATTTAAATGGGAAAAATCAGGTGCACAATTTAATACATGTATTTCTTGCAAAGCAACAAAAATGGAAATGGATTCAATATCGACCAGTTTCTTTACACATAACACCCACAGCCGTCTTTTTTAAGCGCTAAGCGCAGCGCAAAGCGCTTTCTGTCAGCGTAAATCTACTTCCGTTCGCGATCCAGCGCCACTAAGCAAGTTAGATAACTCCACTTGTTTATCTAAAAATATGCAACTGGACTCTTTTTCTGCTACTTTAGTGTAATGCTGCGTTACGCGCATTTCTAATAATAGAATTAGCAATTAGCAAGGTAAAGGAATATTACACTGTTAGTAGACAGGAGCAGGTCTTATCACGTTCTTCTCTATAGTTCTTTTAAATTGCGTCGGCACACTTTACTTTTGTACCATGTAGCTATATATAATAATTGCGCAAATACGACTCGTACTTAATTAAAAACAGCATATTATTTATCTTACACATGTAAAATAATATGGTGCGTTCTATATACTTATATCCATATACTGTTATTTTTCCTTATAGGCCTTTATTTCAGGCAACAAAACTAAAACAAGCCTTTCTTTTAACACCTCGCACCATGCTGAGACCTATCAGTGAAGATAATTTTTACATCTCAGTATCAGTTAGTAACAGACGTGAACGCATTCATGGACTGCCTTTTGTAATGACTTTACTTGTGTTGTATTCTATACTTACATCATATGGGTAATATTCTGTAAATAATTCGGAAAGAAAGGCAGTTTGTGACTGTAAATACATGAGGGGAATGTGGTGGTCGTGTTTTCAAGGATTACATTCAAATTGTAAAATTTATTTCGCAGAATATTGTGTTTAAAAATTGTGTGTGTAGTGTGCAAGATATGGCGAAAAATGCTAAACCTTAATCAACGTTCGTAGCAATGGACAGGAGTAGGGTTGTTTACAGTCTGATTAAAACCAGCCCCCTTCTCCTTTCACTCGTCAGGAGAAGGGGGCTGGTTTTAATCAGACTGGGTTGTTTAAATGTTGCAAAAGCAAACAGTGTAATACTTGTAGTAGGAAACTAAGAAGAAATAGTTTATGTTAAGATGTGCCTCAGCTGTGTTGCCGATTCTTAATGAAGACTAAATAAAAACAGAATAAAACAATGTTGTATACCTTCATGAAGATTTATTAATACTTGAGATTAAAACTATATTTTCTTTCTTGGACTCTTGAATTATTCATCAATGAACAATTGAAATAGCGGGAAAGTTATGAGCAACTATTTTTAGTATTCCTTTTCAACTTGCACAACAGTGATGTATAGATATGTTTTTCCTCTTAACATGTTTTGCGTGGTAGTTAAGAACATAGTTACATAAACAAGTAAAGAATGGTGTAAAGCATCAAGCGTCCGTAAAAAATATTGATTGAAGAGTTTTAAAATACTTCAACAATAGTCAAAAAATACTTTTTGGGCGTTTATTGACATACTGAGTATTTTTAATCCAAAATTGAAAAATGCATGTATATATAAAATTTTTATTGTAAACAAGTAATATTTACAAATCAGGTATATATTGTAAAAAAAATTACTACAAATACGCTAATTATGTATTTGAAAATCGGAGATTAAAGGATAACATCGAAAGATAAATATAATATCTTTATACACAAATGTATATTTACATATAATATCTGACAAAAAGGGCATTAATTCTACGGATGCCCATTTCATTCACATAGAGTTTTGTCACATGACGTTACAAAAATGATGCCAATACAACTGGAATTTCATGTTCGTTAAATTGATTGATCTTTTGACAAAACAAAGAAAATAAAAAAAACTTTAATATACAAAGCATAAGACAATGTTGAATTTCATTCCCCAACGGGAAGTTTTCAGGACCCACATATATGATTATGTATCAATTTGAAACAGTTGTGCTCACCCTAGCGCTGTCGCACTGTCAAAGTATTCCTTATAATTCAATACAACAGGAAATTCAAAATAATTTTGATGATGCTTAGCGCTTTCCAGTACTTTCAGTACTTTGATTCTTTAACCCGATGTGGAAGCCCCCCCCCCCCCCCCCCCCCCCTGCAGCGCAGCGCCTTTTCTGTGATATTATATTAATTTTCCCACGATTAATGATATTTTGTTCTTCAAAATGTTTAGCTTGGTATAAAATTTAAGTGTATATTACGATTTTTTTAAGTTGATGATACACTAACAGTTCAAACAAACAGCAAAATACAAACTTTAAGAATGTTTTGTTTCAGATTTACGTTCTGGATGATAACGTGCATTACACTTAAAACTATGCAATATTAACCAATTGCTCAAAATGAAAACATTCGATCATTAAACAACAATTCTACTTGTGAATGATATTACTCGTATGTCAATTCAATTTTCAAATCACACGGATGCACAATATATTGTGTAAAAAAGGTTCACCTTTGCATGTGCACTTCCATTTGCATTTCTGCACTCTTGTTACAGAAAATAATGCCATTTTAAGAAACAGTGTATTTCTTCATGTTTTTAGTTTTTAAATAATTAAAATTCACTCGAAAATCTGTTCAAACAGCTTTAGATTTTAATTTTAATTTACTTTAAAACATGGTAAAGTAAATATTGGTAACGTAAATATCGGTAACGTAAATATCTTTCTGAGATTTATCGTAACTTTTAATGCTGTTGTTTAATTATTCCACTGTTAAGGTCAAGATCTAGTAATTGTGTTTAGACTAACCTTTTGATGCCAAACTCCATATACAGTGTCGATTCTCCGGGACTACTTTCGTGCCCTACGAATAACGTTTTCTGTGAGACTGTAGGCTATCTAGATATATTTTCTTTGTCTGATATGGAAAAAACTTCCATATTCATGGCTCGTTTTCTGAACTTTTCATTGAAATTGCTAGTTTAAAATATGATTTTTCATCTAGTTTACCTACAAATGATGCCCCGAAACACCTTATTTGACCAAGTTAAACTTATAAAGCATCATTAAAGGAATATACTTTAGTATTTCTCAAATTTGAGAAATCTGTAGGCACCTTTCATTTACTAGATCTTGACCTTAATTAAAGGCATATTCTAGTGCTTGAGTGTAAGGCAATTTGACCCATAGGAAACAGTGTAGTTCTCTTTCTTAATTTGTGAATAAATACTAACACGTAAATATCGATAATTTTTTAACTATTGGACTTATTTCTATAAATACAGATAAACAGTATCTTTTTTACCATTCCCATGCAAAAGAAGAGGTGTTCATGATGTTAAAAAGTTACAACTTAATCCTATTGAGTGAGTTCAGCAATCCTTCAAGTCCTTTTGAATTTCCAAAAAGAAAAGTAATGATTTTGCGGTGACTGACATCAAAATTTGATAAATATATTAAAATTTTAAAAAAAATTGTGACACGCATATGTGTGAAGGGTGTGATATTCAGAAAATATAACTCAAATGTAGGACAATCTTACTAAGAAAAAGATATGTTAGTGATTTAAAACTTCTTTTTGGTTTAAAATAAAATTTACACTATGATCGGCGACAATAACGTAAATATCGATTTCTGCTATAAAATGCGATTTTCGCGTAAGACAATCATTCAAGTTACAACAAACAATTGTTGTATTTTAATCAACAACCAACAATGGTTCATATGACTGGCAGAAAATAAAATTTATTAGAAATTTTATATTACTTAAAACAAGGTACATTATTTAAAGCGAATTGAGACTATAATTTGAGAATCAGTGTTGACGATGCTGAGCAGATCTCTGGTATGAGGTGTATCTTGGTGAGCTAAAGTTCGATTTTGCATTTTATTCCGATTTAATATTTTTTTCACGGAATTACGACCTTTTCAATTTTACGGATTTTCTGCAGTGTTTTTTTCTAAACGAATGAAGATATTGAGCTAATTTTTGCTAAAACATCGAATCTGAGGATATTTACATCAATAAATGTGCATTTTTTTTTTAAAAACTAAACATTTGGGTTGAGTCTCCATGATTTTATTTGAAATTTTATACTTAGAAAATTCTTACTACATAAGTAGAAAAACACCCATTTACCAATTAAAAATCATAACCAGTTTGTCGTTAATTTTTTATACAAAAATATTGCAACTGTGGTTTACCACAGGAGTTCGCATATCTATCAATTTTACCGAAATTTTCAGTAAATAAAAAAGATACGTAATACCTATAATAATAACACTATAGCTATTACATATTTTTTTTATGTACTGAAAATTTCTGTCAAATTGATAGGTACGCGAACTCCTGTGGGTTTACAGACTCTATAAGAAGGGGGAAAACCTACTCTGAGAAAGAAAGAGGGGTCGGAATTTGGCTCTGGCGTGAGAATTCCCCTCTGGGGGAAATTCTACTGTAGAGTACGATTTCCAGGGAAAGCTGGCTTTTGGGGAAATCATACTCTACATCACCGTTATTGATAACCTTCTGAAGAAAAATGTTCGAACACTCTTTAAAATGTTTCCTAAGCCTTTAACCCAGTTTAACCGTGTCTATCCAATCAGGGACGTATAAGAGTACCTGGTATAAGCAAAAAAAATCTTAATGTCAAAATAGTGCTTCAATTTACCATGTTTACATGCTGAAAGAAATAATTAACACGATTTTTACAATCAGGTGAAGGGAAAAATGTCTAAAATGCATCGGGCTCAAGAATCTGTAAAATATTTTCCTCTGTTTTGATTTCTCATTACATGCGCTCTTACTATTGGATGAGACACTTCTGCCATTTGTTTAGGAGGTATGCATTACGATTTCCCCTTCAGTTGACACGAGGTTACACAGACATCCATCAACAAATCTTCGTGATGTCGCAGGAAGAGGGCAAAAATCGTAATAAAGTGTACAAAGTCGTGCTCACGGGGGGTAAGTCCATTGCATAATTGTAAACTTGTTTGTAAACTTGATACGAGCACGTGGTCTAAGTTTTGACTTTGTAGCTCTGGATACCTTTGAACATGATGAAAGAATGCAGTACCTATTATTTTCCTTAAAGCATTGATGGGTCTTTTATGGTTACTTTGCCACAAAAACTATGAACAAGAGTGAAGTAGCTGCTACATTGGCTCCCCTCTCTTTTAACTTGCTCAATATTAAAAACATATTCCTACTGATCAATACTGGGGATGGGAAAGGTCAGCAAGAGCAAGTCATTAAACACACTTACAATAACAGAATTAGATTTTTTAGTTTTTTGAAAAAATGAAAGGGTTGAAAGGAAGGACAAAGGATATAGTGATGATTTATCTGTATTTATAAATCGCTATTTTATGTTTAATTTATTGATGGATAAATTTTTTATTTAATAGACCCTTTCACAATAACTGAGGTACTGCTCTTTTGCAGGTTCCATGTTCGTTCGCCCTAAAAATTGTTCGCCCGATTTCCCGTTCACCCGATTTTTTGTTCGCCCAGAGTCCGATTGCCCTAAAACTTGTTCGCACAGGGTCTGTTCGCCGTAAAATAAAGTAGAATAAAATCTAATGAATTTATGTCCTTTTTTTTTTTTTTTGTACATTCAAAATAAAACAGACCGTCACTGTATCTGTCAGACGTTATGCATATGGTCAAACCTGTTTTAGTATCAGCGGTCTTACCTACTAAAGACTCAGTCCTTTAATTGTTTTCAAAACATATAGCGCAATTTGTAAAAATAACACGGATATATCCCCTAATTAACATATTACATTGATATTAATCATCTAATTAACTATAGTGCAAACACTTAGTCAATCAAAAACATTAGATATAGAATCAAATCAAAAATTAATTTAGACTAAATAAACATTGCTCTTCGTATCAGAATTTGAGAAAAAAATTCCAAGTTCGTAAGGGAAATAAATAGAAAAAATGTTATACTCGTATGTTAATTTTTTAATTCAAATATATATACAAGACTTAGTATACATGTATATAAGTATTGGGCGAACCAGGTATAGAGGTCATGAAACACAACAAGATTTACTGGGCGAAGAATATATCGGGCGAACGAACTCTGCGCTATTTTATGTTTAATTTATTGATGCGAACATTTTTATTTAATAGGGCTTTCACAATAACCCATTACCTCTTTTGCCGGGCGGATTGATATATTTTTGTGAAATGTGATGTAAAAACAATTGTTTAATATATACGTCATTTAATTATCTATCAACAAAAAACTTCGTCAAACATCAATTTGCCCTGCAAAAGAGTATACCACTGTAAAGTGTTATAGTGAGTGGGCTAATTATATGGCTTAGTTTGAAAGTTGGATTACAGACATATTTTTAAAAGAAAATATTATACAGGTAAAAAATGTCAAATTGACTTATTACTCTTTTTAACTTTTTAACTTTGGTAAAGATTTCCCTGTGTGTTATTTAATTCCTTGTGTTATATTTTCAGTTTGTGAATGTGATTAACTTTAAAAAGTTGAATATTTTTATGAAGCTCAATGTTTGTTGTTGTATTTAGGTAATTTAATGACATTTCTCAACAAATTCCCTTTTAATTAACATGTTTAATATCATGTGTTTAAACTATTCAAAGTGATATTTTGCAATCTTATGAAATGTAGAATGACACTTTTTATTCTGTTAAAAGAAAAATGTACAAAGTTTTTTCTCCCATTGAAGGGCAGCCCCACCAAAAAACAAAAATGGATTTTTGGCCAACCTTGATGCTTAGATCTATGTTTTCTTTTCCTCATTATTGTTCATGTTGTTTGTTTGGATTTTTTTTCTCAGTTAGTTTGATGTTGATTTCCACAAGTTGTTGCATATGGGCTCAAAAGAGAAAGGGGATTATGTTACATTATGTTATGTGATGCTTGCAATAAATACATGTTGTTACTTCAGTAGATGTTGTTACTGACACTGGAAATTTTCTCATTAAAAGAATTTATGCCTTCTAAATGATTCTTAATAAATATTTTTTTGCTCATTCAAGCTTACCATACTTATATCAGACAATGGTATATTTACTCTATTCCACCTTAACGTTGTACAGTGTCAGTAATTATTTAAACCAAGGTGTTACCCTAATTGATAAGGTAAATAAATTGATTTATTGATCTATATTATATATCTTTGTAAAGTATGTATAGTGAATGGTATTGGTACATGTAAACAGTATATATTTTACAAAATGAGATTAGAGAGTAAACTGTAAGTCATAAATACTGTGGTATGTAATTAATTTTGTAAATGGTAACTCTTTGAAGAGGTCTAGAAAAAAAAAATTCAAAATAAGATCAGTAAATATATTTTCAAGGTGATCCCTTTACATTCCTACACTGTTTTGATTTTATGACTTGACCAGGAGATAGTCTTGGACATAAGGTAAATAATACAGGAACTTAAAAAGGTTATTCAACACAGCAGGTATACAAATGTAGATGATACAGGGTTCAGTTGTATGAGACAGGCAAGTTATGTTTACAGAGCTTTTCAATGGTCTGTTTCCATCCTCGGCCAGGGTTGCATTTTTGAGATATTTTAATGACAATATATGTCAGTTGATTTTGTCATTTCTGTTTGTGTTTCAGGGCCATGTGGGGGGAAAACCACAGGCCAGGCCCGCCTAAGCTCGTTTTTTGAGAGCATGAACTGGAAGGTAAGCTTTCTGGGGGGTCAGAGTTCACGTCTACCTGTCAGTTTGAGGGGGAGATTGATTACATGCCAGGACAAATGTGAAATGTCCACTACTGTCTTAAATTCTAGACCCACCACGCCATCATTTATATAGCAGATAAAAAAGTTCACTTACATGTAAATTAAGTAATGAATTTGATACACTATACTGTCAAAAGATATGAATTACAGTTGATAGAGTAAAAAGATTTTTTATTACTGTTAGCACTTAAAATATGTTCCAGAAAGTTCATTAAATATTTATTGCTTCCTTCCCTTTCTTTAACTATGAAAGTGGATTCAAATTCAGAATTCACTATACGATATGTCTATCAGGTAATTTATAACCTAACCTTTACATTTTATACAGTGTAGAATATATTTTTTTAATTTATAAGGTGTACAGATTGCCAGAAACAGCATACATATTCCTAAGGTGAGATATTGCTATATTTTATTTTGTAGATTTAAACCCTTCTTTAAAACTCCCATATCAATGAAACATCTACAGTTGAAACTGCACTCCCACATCGATTTTAGGAAACATTCCATAGTCTTGAGAAGAGAAAACTGCTTTAATATAATAAAATTGCAGTACTTAAGATGACGGTTTTAATAAAGTTTTGTAGATTGATTTAATATAATATGCAAGTTTCAAGATTATCTCCCTTGGTGTGCTCTTTCATTGAGGAGGGGAGTTTCGTTGCCTTGTAAACAGACAGGTTTGACAAATATTTATAATATTGGATACATTGCATCATTGTTGTATTAGTTTATCATAGCTTCATGATTGTCAGGATGCACTCTTCAACTCAAGCATAACTTCAAAGACCCAAATATCTTAATAAAAGGTTTGAACAATCAGGGAATTTTTTTTTTTTTACTTTTTATGAAGACTACAATGATTCTTCTTAGTTGAGCTCGATAAAATCATCAAATGCATCACTGCTTAATATTATTATCTTTCTTTAAAATTTAAATGAATTATTAATACCATAAACATCATTCATTTATTTATGCACGTTTGAATACACTAACAACCTGCCCCACTTCCATGCTGATATGGATACTTTTTGCTCCTTTATTGTAGGAGAGATACAATCTCAAAACTCGCGTATTTAGTTTTCTCTGATACGTATATTCCATTTTTAATAGTTATTGATTATACTTGGCTTCAGAAATCGCAGAAAAGATGTACTTGTAGGATCTCTTACAACAGTTATAATGTACATGTATAAACTGGAGTTTGGCAAGTTCATATCAATTGAATTAATTTTGATTCTGTTTATATTTTTTTTCCAGTGGTGGTGTAAAATTTACTAGTCTCACCAAAGAAGAAGGTAAGAAATGTATAACAGATAAGTCTTTAAGATACTAGTAATTTATGTACTAACTGTATATATACAATATACAACTGTCAAAGGTAAAAAAAAAAATCAGAATAATGAATTAAGGTAATTGCACTTGAATAACAGTTAACTCCAGATTTTATTACATGTTTTCTGATGAGATCCCTTTGCCCATATAGACATTGTTCGACTTTCTTTATTCTTATTTACAGCATACCAGCTTCAGGAGAATATAATTAAAACAATGACCCAGATTGAGGACACATTTTTTGAACTTGGCAACACCTCTGAACAGAATTGTCTGTTTATCTGTGACAGGGGCCTCATGGATGCCTCGGCTTGTGAGTATTAAGGGAATATCTTTAGTACATGTAGTAGTAGTTCTAAGTGGAGATTGCAGACAGTGGAATTTTCAATTTAAATGTGTTTCAAAGTTTTTCCATTGAAATTTTGTGAATTCAATGTAAAGACAAATCTAGAGTCTCTTATATGCTATAGAGATCCATTGTGACCAGGGAATAAAGCTCTTGATTTAGAATCAGAAAATTGAAGATCAAAGGGAGTAATAGGTTTAGTTATTGAAAGAGTAACAATTAATTGTCCATCTAATTTAATTGCAGAAATAACATGCATTATGATGTAATGTAGTAATTACTTATTTTGGTTGATTAACTGTCTGTATATATATTAACTAGATTTGCATGCTGATGACTGGGAGAAGATGAAGGAGAAAAATGGCTGGAATTCAGTTCAGCTCCGTGACAATCGGTACAACCAGATCATACACATGGTGTCCGCAGCCAATGGGGCGGAGGCTTTCTACACCGTGGACGGACACAATACACGTCACGAGGGCCTAGAGGTGGCCCGCCAACTGGATGAAATGACCGCAGCAGTAAGTACTCTATCTTTTTTATCGTATTTATGTAGTACATGTATATATTTTTTCAGAGTCATTGATTTATATTCTCAAATTAAATATAAAGGTGAAATTTTGATTTATTAATTGTAGGCTTGGGTTGGACATCCATATTATGACGTTATTGACAACAGCACTGGATTTGAGGGGAAGATCAATAGAATGATTGCAGTAAGTGTTTTTATACGCCCGGCTTAAGACGGGACGTATTATGTTATAGGCTTCGTGTCCGTCCGTCTGTCCGTCTGTTAGCTTTTTCGTTTCCGGCTCATAACTTTAATACTACTAGGTCTAGGATTATCAAACTTTGTCATCTGATGCATCTTGGGTAGAAGGTGTGTCGACCATTACAAAAAGTAGGTCGAAAATATGTACACATTTCATTAAGAAGTTATAGCCAAATATGGAAAAATCCTTTCCGGCCCATAACTAGAAAACTATAAGACTTACAATCATCAAACTTGGCCAGTTTATGCATCTTAGGTAGAAGGTGTGTCACGTTTTATTTTTTATTTCAAGGTCACTGTGACCTTTAATTTAAATGAAATTTTTAAAAAAAAATGTGTGTTTTTACTATTCATTTACACATCCCAAATAATGTAAGAGTATTTCACTGTCCCTATTAAAAAAGTGTTAATAAGATAGAAAATACTTATTTTTTTAAGCATATACGTGTGTGACAGCAATCTATAACAAATATAATGTATGTTAATTGTAAGAAATTCTGTCAAAGCCTCTCCCTGGATGAGCTCTTTATTTTCAAAATGCATTTCTGATATATCAAGATTAATTTGAATTTTGATAACAGAAAATTGCATGTAACACAAATTGAGAGAAATTAATGGGTTTTGAGTGTGAGGTGCTAACTGACAGGGCATTGGTGTTATCTGTATCCCTTGAGCAATAATATTTCACTGCAAATTTTTGTAAGCCTGTTTGATTAAAAATAGCTTCTTGTTGGCTAGCTTAAGTTTTAAAATGAATTTGATGAAAAGTAATTAAAACTAATTTGATTTTGCATAATAGACTAATCTGATATTTTGTAATATTATATAATTTAAAAACTAATTTTATGTGGGTCGGGATGGAACGGTGTTGCCATGTCTAAATATAAATTATATTAAAACCTGTTGTTTTATTCATTAATATCTGGCACACAAGTAAAAAAAAAATATTTGAGTATTTTATGTTTTCAAAAAAAATTATGGTAGAAATTCCTTTAAAACACCATTCATCTCTTGGTAGTAATGATAACTTGACACACAATCCACAAAGATTAATTAATGAGTTTAATGTAGGAAGGCTATGCCATGGATAAAGCATTTTCTTATCTGTACCCTTACAGGGATTTCAATATAACTTGGCACACAAGTAAGAACTGCTGGTGCATCGGTTTTTAATTTCATGTCATGTTGATGGCCAGCCTTTTCTTGAAATTCAAAATTAATTTGGATTTATAGATTGGAACACAAGTTGTTAAGACTAATTTGATATTGTTTGAATATGATGGGCATTTGACAAGGTCTAAAAACACAACCAGTGAAACTTTAAAACACTATCAGTGATGTAATATTTATTATAATTTATGCACACTACATCACAGGGGATGCATAAATATTTTAAGGAATGGAAAAATCATTGAAATATTAGAACCAAGGTTGATGTGATTTTCTTGCACACTAAACTACACAAAGAAAATTGCAATGGTTTTTTTACAAACGGGCGTATCATGCTGTGGCGCGGCACTTTATTTTTTACAGGATTGATGCAATGATCAAATCACAATAACTGTACCCTTTGATATACTCTTTTAAATGTTTTCAATGTTTTTCACTGAAAGAAACCTGGGTCACTGTCACCAGTATGTGTAAAGCCTTAGCAGAAATGAATTATGCCTTTGTTGATTTTGAGTATAGAGTTTAAAGTTTCTAAAATGAAACTCCATTGATTTCAAAATAATCAAAACAGGTTATGTTCTATAGTTACAAATTTTTGCACTTCAGAGGAACTTAAGCACACTTACAAAATGAAAATTAAAATATTTTTACAAGATGGCATACAGCATAATTATACAAAAATAAAAGAATTTTCAAATAAAAAAGTGATTTACCATTACAGATTGTAATATATCTAATTGAACAATATATGGTATATAAAACATAATATAAGCAGAGCAAGCAGACCTAACCATGCAAGCATATTTAAAAAAGGTCATTTGGCAGAAATTTAATAAGCAAGTCAACACAAATGGTGTGATGTGTCTCAATTTTCATTAGAAAACTCAGATGTATGGTCACAGGATATGAGTTAAGTCAAAAGAAGATCAACTGGAAAAATTGGATGGAAAGCTCACTGAAGTTTGGAAAAGTTGCATAGTGTGACTGCACCTCTTATGTATTTTCCAATAGTTAAGATTGAAGCTTTCATGTTTCATGAACTGTCAGCAGATTGTTTATGGGTATGAGATAAAGAAGTTCACAAAGTTTTAATAACAAAAGTGAGCTTTGAGTTTAGTGAACCTAATGTCAAGCTATGAATATATGCAGACATGGACAGATTTAGATTATTTTGTACTTTTGTGGTGACTTAGATAGATTTAAACTCGTCGTAAATTGTTGAATTTTTTAAACTTTTCACATTTTATCTTTTTGAGAACCATTAGGGTCAACCAAAGCACAAAGTATCCTTGGGTGAAGGGGATTAATTTTTACGCCCTTTTCCAAAATTTTGTAAAAATTTGTCACTGGCGCTAAAAGATGAAAATCATGTAAGATTTTCAGGTATCGTTTATGTTTCAATTTAGTATGCACAGTTACATATGAATATATAGGAAAAATCTTTAAAAATCCAGAACCCTGAGCCAGGAAAATATACTCAACAACGTGGCAAGAAAGTTTGTTCAAATCAACCCCCGCAAGGGTGGGGCCAAAATGGCCAAATTACATAGGAATATAAAAAAATCAAAGATTTGCACCGAAAATAACTTCTAAATTAATTATAACAAACCTTTTAGAGGTTGTATATGCCTTTAACCTAAAATATAATCCAAATGAAGTTTTACATAAATATATAGGAAAAATCTTTAAAAATTTGCTCAAGATTTGGTTCATTTTCTCAGGTACAAGTTTTTGCAAATCATGACCCTAAAATTTACACGCTGTGTTTACATAGGAATATATGGAAAAATCTTTAAAAATCTCTCTCCAGAACCGCTGGGCCAGGAAAGAAAAGCATGTGGAATCATCCTCAGGTAGTTATCGCCTTTGTTGATACATGGTTGGGACCCAAGTTTTACATAGGAATATATAGGAAAAATCTCTCTTCTCCAGAACCGCTGGGCAAAATAATGAAACTCATGTGGACACACCATCAGGTAGTGTAGATTCAAATTTGTTCAAACCCCCGTGGCTACGGTATTGCATATAATGAGGACAATTTACAGGGATATATAGGGAAACCTTTTAAATCTTCTTTTCAAGTACTTCAAAGTATGATTAGTGATATTTATATGGAATCATCCTAGGTAGTGTTTCTAGTTTGTTCAAATGAAACGCCATCAAGCCCGATGTGCTCAGGTGAGCGCTGTGGCCCCTGTGCCTCTTGTTTTGTACTTTTGTGGTGACTTAGATAGATTAAAACTATTTTGTACTTCTTATAATTGTCAAGTCAGTAGAATTCATCCTGTGCTATATTGCATATTCCAAGTTATACAGTATTGTATTTGTTTTTTGTTTTTTCAGACAGTGTGCAGTAGGCTAGGTATTGAGGTCAAAGACAGATTAAGCTCTGAGAGTAAAAAGAGGAAATTCTTGGTCAGATCTCTGGCAGAAGACTCGGTAAGTAACATTGCAGAATAATTTAATTTTGTTTATATTCTCGCCTCTCATTGGTTGATTTCCAAAAAGGAACGCAAAACATTTTGTATAATCTGGTTTGGTATGGGGACACACCCCCTTGACGACTAGCTTAATCATCTTATCCATGCAATTATTTAGTCCTCGGAATCCATGGAAAATTCAAGATTTAATAACTGTGTCTTTAACTTCAAACACTTACTCGATCTTACCTCATGTAAACACACATCATGGCTGCTAGATCTATGTATCAGTTATTACCTTCGCTTCACATCACTTCCGTTACTACGGTGTGTATTAGGCGGTAAATTTATTGAAAAAGCAACATAATTTTACATCCAAAGTTGTTTAATTATTTTAAAATTAAATTATAAGGAGGAAATTCTTGGCCAAATTATCAGATAATCTGCTTTTTATAATCCGCTTCGCAGATTATAACGCATAACACCAGATTATACTCGATAAGAATAAAGTGAAATTAGTTTAAATAAAATGAAATTAGTTTAAATGAATAAATGCAATTTAATTAAAACTTCATTGATACTATTTTACTGTTTAAGAATATATCACTCCTGTACTTGCAAGGCATTTCCACTCAAATTCATGTTCAGATTTTAAATATTTCTCATTGTGATTAACTTGTGATTTGGTTTCAGAAATTTCCAGGATTCCAGGACTTTGATGTACAGCATTACTACCTATCTAGTCCCAGCAGGAAAACTCAAGCCAGGATACGTAGACGGGGTCAAAATGGTGAGTAAACTCAGCCATAAAATCTTAATGTGAGTTTGTGTGTGTACAGTATTAATAAAGGTGTGGTGTTTTCTTTTAAGGTTATTGGACATACACTCACACCATGAGAAGACAAGTTCAAGATGCAATGGCAGAAATCCGAATGTCTATCTCAGAAAAAGACTTCAATGTATGTCTTAGTTTAAATTTCCAAGATTCAATTCAAAATCTAACTCCTTTGTTTTCTTTATTGTACCTTAGTCTTATGTAAGTTTCCAAAGCACCTTTTTTTCTCATAAGCTTTAGTAGATGTACATGAATATGTATTGCCTATGTTAAAAAAATCAATCTTGCAATCTTGCATGGTAAAATTACACAGTTAATACTAGTCTTGTATAAAATTGTATTGCGAACGTTACTCATAGATGTCAAATATGTATTCATATTGCTACAAATTTTCTTATGATTATTAAGTGATTAAACAACTGAAATTTTAGCTTACAATGTGAATTTCCTCCATTCATAATATCTACTTGTAAAAATGTTTACTTATATCGGATGATTATGCATGAATTTTTAGATCACCTGAGTAAACTCAGGTGACCTATTGCTATCAGTTTTCGTCCGTTGTCATTTGTCATGCGTTAACATTTGAAAATTTTAAGCTTCTTCTCTGAAACCACTGAACCAATTTCAACCAAATTTGGCATAAAGTATCTATGGGTGAAGAGAAACAAAACTTTTGAATTTCATGGTCCCTGCACCCATGGGGCCTGGGGGGTGGGGCAAAAACCACTAAAATTAGTGCAATCTTTAAAAATGTTCTTCTTTACTCCTGGACATCAAGCAGTCAAACTGTTGGTACGATTGCAATCACCATTGAGTCCTCTACCAAAATTGTGAAATTCATGGCCCCAGGGTCAGGGGTTCTAGTGCTAGGGCGGGGCTAAACAGGTTATATAGTGAAAATGCATTATTTCTTTGAAATTCTTCTTTTCTGGTCCTTGGCATTAAATAAACTAACCAAGTGCATATGTTAGTTGAAAATGACTGCCTTTTCCAAAATTGTGAATTTCATGACCCCAGGGTCAGGGGTTCTAGTGCTAGGGCGGGGCTAAACAGGTTATATAGTGAAAATGCATTATTTCTTTGAAATTCTTCTTT